TGGACGCGAAAATATGATGACGTCATAAGGAGGTATTTCGTACAAAATTCATAAAACAGTATCGTTTTTGACGTTTCGATAAAAGTATTGAATTTGAATAGTCGTCAACTACTGTATTGCAAGGTAATGAAACTTGAAGTAAGGATTCAAGGAACCACTATTGTATTCTGTTTAGATAAAGAGAGCTAGGAAAACTAACATACAAGTGATTAATCATACGTGAACTACTAAAGCTTCTTTGATAAAATAAGAAACCGTATAACAAATGATCAATGCTTTTTGGTCCATCTCCTGTACAATAGACTACAAATAGACTACAAGTCTATCCAGTTATCTTATCTTAATTCTTTTTTTTTCTGCAAGTAGACTCCAACATTTACTTGTCAATTTTATCAAGCGAACGATGAGGTTGATATTTCCTAACTGACTACTCTGAGAAGAAATACCGAACCAAACTCAGAGGTTCATCTCTTTTAAAGTCCAGACAAATATATATTAAAGATTGTGTGAAAACCGTGCAAGTTCGTTCTGTAGTGGCCTTTTGAGGAAAGAACCACAACAGTTTGAGCAGACCCATTCCGATATATGCGTACTGCCACGCATGTGTCGGTTTACAACCAGCTGAATTAACAGGTGAAGCTGACTGATTCAACGAACAATACCAACCTAAAGAACATTTGGGTGGGTCGCACAAATACTCAAACAGTCAGAACATGGGTAATTGGAAAACTGCGTTTAAAAAACCGACTTCAAAAAACCAAAAACCAAAAACTAATAACAAACAAAAAGTCAAAACTAAAAAGCAAAAAATAACTATTATTAGTACTGATAGGTTACCCCCCCCCCACTAATAGGTAAGAAGTCGGTGCCATAAGTTCAATACAAAATTATTCATTAAACCTTAATAGGTACCTATATAATTATGATATGAACAATCAGCCGAACATATCCTCCTTTTTTTGAAGTCGGTAAAAAGAAATGGCGAGGCAAAGTCTCGCACGGTCCTTGCACTAACAATTGTAAAATAAAAAAGGAAATGTCAAGGTAGCGAGAAAATTTACAAACATTGTCTACTGCAATTTCTGTGTATTTTATGAAAATACCTATCTAATGCCGTATTCAAATTTAATACTGTTTCATTGTTTCTTTTCATGGAATGATAGAAAACAATTGAATAGCGGTGACCACAAGCTGTCAGATCCAGTCACTGTTTTTGCTACACGTTCAACGGTCCAAGCCCTTTTATAAATCATTTAAAAGATCTCTGGAATTGTCAGGTGTATTGCCACGTCACGTCAGACGTCAGCTACAGTCCTGACGTCATTCTGAACCTTGTTTCAAGTCAGGAATATAATAAACACTTTTATTTCCAGTATCTTACGGAATCATTTAAATATTCACAAACGGTTTTGAACGAAATGCTTGAATAATCTGACAGTTGTAAGGCTTAGCTGAAAGCACTTATATTTAGTTTCAGTTTAGTAAACTGGGGAGCGGCAGTTAAGTATTTACTTTATTGTTAAGAACTGAAAGTACAATATCCTGTTCCTGAAGAGCTTAAGTTTCAACGACCTACATATTAGTACCTTCTACCTTGGAGGTTACGTAAGGTATATTTTGGTCTTATAATATATTTGATCTGATTTCTAACCGACTTTGAAAAAAGAGGTTTTCAATTGTTTAAGTATGTTTATATGTATGTATGAATTTTTGTGTTTGATTATCTTGCGATTGACGGAACCGATTTTGATGCGGTTTACAAAAAAGTGCTATACTTTGAAAAATATTTTGGTACATTAACTAACCGACTTCAAATAAAGAGGTGAAGTCGGTTTCCATATGGATGTATTGACATGCGCTTGGCGGTTCTATTCCCATTCAATTCATAGCAATAATTTCCATTCTATCACTAGATAACATACAGACCACCAAAAAATCAAGGAAGTAATAAGCAAAATTACAAACTAGATAACAATTATCAAGTAGTGCAATATGCACTTTATGACCATTGACCGTAGGCTACCGGTAACCTATCATCTACATTCCTGTCGGTGATGTAAGAAATCAGAGGTTATCGATTTGATGGCAAGGCGACCATCTGCGCAATTATAAGTGATATGCTAGGTAACTGTTGTACTTGTATCTAATTATAATTTATTGGTAATTTAAATTGTATCGAGTTCAACTGGAGCACATTCCTTATTTTATGGGATACGCTGGTATACGAGCAGACGGATCACCTGATGGTAAGCAATCGGCACCACCACTTAATATAGAATTGTATTCTATATGGGCACCACCCATGGACACCTGGAACACCAGAGGCGTTACAAGTGCGTTACCGGCCTTTTGGAAATTGGGAATTTGGACTGTGGGGGTTTCGGGGATTGGGGAGAACTGGGCCTCCGGTAACCTCATTCACACGATGAAACACAACGCATACGATGATTAAGTTCGATTGGGGCACATTCTTTACAAAGAGCCGAACACGCCTTCAATCAATTGAGCGATTAAAAGTTAATTGGTTAATTTATAGCGTAAATCAACTACTGTTCGTCTCTGTTATTTGTTTATCTCTTACGTTTTGTAGTAATCATTACGTTTAATTTCTTAATAACTACTTATCACTGTAAATAAACTGGTAAGTTTTCGATAGCAACTTCCGAATCTGACATTGGTACTTCATTATCTGTATTATTATTATACCTACAACATAGAAAGATTGTAAATCTTAAATCATTCATTTAGTCGCGGAGAACTTAACGGGTAACCGGGACTCCGGCTCGACGTGCAGCAGAAGGAACGTGGTTTTTATTCAGTAAGAGTCTGACACTCCCTCCCGCCTCACCCAGGCAGAAGCAGTCATTCGATGATTTTACCCCCTTAAAAAATCTTTCATTTAGGTAGTTACGTTAGTCTCAATGGGATATCAATTTTTTGAACCGGAAACGAGCAGACGAGGATCACCTGATGATAACCAATCGGCGTCGCTAATGAACACGAACAGCGGCCGGCATACTGGCCTTTTAGGATCAGAATTTAAGGATTGATTCGGGAATTGGGAAAGGGGTGGTTGTCCAAAGTTGCCCAGACTTGTCTCGGAGGTCCTATAATATGAGTATACCCAATCCAATAGACATTTAACTAATTGAAAATCATCATCAGGCGTACCAGGCAAGTATCCAGTACACGATTTTACAAATATCCTCATAATATCGGCACAATGTCCAACGCAATTTAATTTCAAAGAGTAGCCAGAGCTGTAACGTGCATTGTGTCCCGGTAACACGGCGCATGTTTACGCATTTGTCAAATGGAGTGGTGTTCACTTGCAGCCGGAATGACCGCAACGTTTCAGTTAGATCCCGCTCGGAACATTGTGGTCAAATTCGTATGCGGTTATCTGATAACCAAACACGTTTGCTGTGCGAATTTGAACCTTAATTGGTAAATTATTGATAAATTGACGATGTATGGATATTGGACACCTGTATGTGAAATTTGGTGTTAGGTATTAATTAGTTTATCATCATCAGCAACAACCTATAAACGCCCACTGTTGAGCCAAGCCTCTTTTCACACGGAGAAGGTTTTAGCATTACTTAATCACCACGCTTGCTCAATGTGAATTGGTGATTTCAAACTTATAATTAGAAATTATAAGCCCAGTTTTCCTCACGATGTTTTCCTCCACCGTTTGTCAGTTGTATCTAACTAATCTTAGTAAGTACATATAACTCGGAAAAAATATGGAGACTAAATTAAAGCATTAAAGGCAGCTTCACATAAAACATTATAACAATTATTAGGTTTGGCTTCCTTTAAAAATGATGCATAAGCATAAGATTTTTAACAGTTACCTAATTGTATAAGCTGCTATTTCAAATGTTCTTCCTCTCCAGAACTTAAAAACGTTTTTAATCTCTATAATTTCTATAAAATGCTCCTTATTTAAAAAAATGTCCAAAACACAATAACTAGGTACATAACTAAGTACAACAACATCTAAAACCACGTCTCAAAGAAATTCCACTTCAAGCTTCTAATTTCGAAAGTCCAAAACCCACAGACCACATACCAGTTATCAAACATTTGTTAAAAGTAAATTGAAAAATGATTCATACAGCCAAACCATTCGACCTTCATACTCCATGGTGCATCATACTCTGAAAATAATTCAGCTGTTAGCCGACCTCGCTACAAATAAAATTACTTTTAGTTTACGACACTGCTCTTTACCTAGTTACACTTAAATGCTGTACTGAAAATTTTAGAATAGTTTTAGAAGTAATAGTGTTTGATACTTGCAATTGTGGTGGCACATTTTTATTATGGCGTGACTAAAGCCAAATGAAATCTTATTTAATGTCAAATGACCTTTAGCTTATTGTATCATTATCACAAGAACAACTCCTTAAATGGAATACTTAATTTAGATTACTACTATTGATCTAATTCCATCAAAATTGCTTCCATGTTATCAGAATGGTAAAACCAAACTTTATGATTTCCTCCACATTAATTAATACGATTGCTTCATCGAAATACGAAATCGGATGTTTCATTAAATTGATTTAATTAAACCGATAATTCTACCCGACACTACAAAGCAACCATCTTTAAATAGGTTAATCGATTTTCATTCAAATCTCGAGTTCCGCTTAACAGCATCTGTCGACTAAGTATAGATTATTTTATGTACTTCTTTATGGGGTATTTAAAAGAACGAGAGGACTGTTCATAAAACTAAATATACCGCCCGACTTGTTAGAGGTGATTAAGTAACCGAGCCGGCCGATAGATGTATCTTATTTCCCTATTCCAATATCGGAAGCCCGCAACTGCGCCCGCTGAACCGAACGACGTAATTACTCACTTTCAAACTACTAAACTGCTCTTAGCGATTAGTCATGTCTGTCAACATGTACACCTACGGGCGCATTATTAAGTGGATCCGTATCGTGTAATCTTGTTACTAATTTAATGTTATTTTGTTTCAGATTCAAACCCCAACGCTCAAGCTTCCAGCACAAAATTGACTGAATATAACAAAATTGTGATAAAAAACGTCTACGGGCTTCCACTTTACGCTTTAATATTTTATACGACATGAAGAGATGTTGGCAATCCATTGACAGTTTACGTTCGAAGTGAAGTTGTGTATTGTGAATTTGTGAGGCAATGGAGTGAAAAGAAGGCGATGACGGCGAGGGAGGTGGAGTTGACAGGCGGCGCGCCGTGGGGCTTCCGCATGCACGGCGGCACCGATCAAAACCAACCACTCAGAATCTCAAGGGTACGTTCAAAATGTTTTCTACGTTATTCCGAGCATACTTTCCCGCGAGCGACTGCGACGCGACGCTTACAATCTTTGCTCGCGAAATATTAAACGACGAGACGCCTCCACTTCAACACAAACGACTCACTGTAGTTTCACAAATTGTTTCTAAATCCAGCTCTAACGGTTCTATATAATTTTTATAACATCCGTTGAAACCTTTTCCCTTAAATCGGATTACGTCATAAGCCTCTACTGACGCTTTACACAACTAATCGAAATCAATTGGCGTGAAATCTTCCATAATGAAGCCGCTTGCAATAGGAACTCGGGTCGTAATAAGAGTTGAGAGTATTTCTTCAAACTCCTCACAGGATCAGATTACGCAATTAAAGTTCGTTGTAGATGGTGAAACAGTTCGTTCTTGTCTAAAGCGCTTTGTTTGTGGGAACTCGGTGCAATTTATCAAGAGAGTTGTACTGTTGAAAGGGAACTAGTTGTTATATTACGGTTTGTTGGAGCTCGAAGAGTATCATCGTGTGCCTGATTATTTAGTTCCTCCTTTTGCGAAAATATTAATTCATTTTTATTTCCTTGTGATTTAATGCTCCGACCACCTGTTATGTTGTTTTGTTACTGTGGAAGTTTATGTTCTTTTGTTATTTCTTATGTCGGATTACAGTGAATATGTATGAAATATCATAATGGATTACACTTCTTATTTGTTTTCTTGAGAACCGTTGAAAGCTCCTTGTTTACAAAGGAATATCTAATGAGACAAAACAATTGGTTTGTGTGTACCTGCAAAGTCTTCGATTGGATTAGGTTTACAGGTTGCGAAGTAATAGCGTTGTTTCTAATCAGATAATTTAGTTACTAATGCTCTAAGAAAATAGAGTAGCAGGTATTTAATTTTCTTTACAAGAATTCTGATTTTGATACTACATAGATGTTAATAATATTCAGTGGAACATTAATGTTTTATCTGCCATCTGCTGTTAAGGATGCCGTATTATTCATGTAATCCCTGGCTATTGACTGAAATACGTACTATTATGATCAGCTTAATAACATTCACATCGAACAGTCACATCTTTCACAGTACTGACAGGTTAACCCATACACACAACACACATTTATTAATTTTATTTCTCTTTTATTTGTTTCTTTCTTATTGGTTTTATTATTTTTCCAGCGATACAGCGATACTGTTCAGCGCAACCTTGATGTAAGTAAGATACTAAGAACGGTTTGTTCACCAAACAGTAATCAATCATTTTCTCCTAGGAGACCGATATCTTCTTCAATAAGTATTTGTTTTGTTTATTCAACCAAGATAACGGCACCCCTGACACTTCTAATTTGTCTTCCCTTTTTATTAACTTCGGTAATAATTATTGCACGAGTTTCTTCATGTATCTACCTATTGCTATTTGGATTTTACTAATCCGTTTGTTTTTTTAAGCATAACAATTGTTTTTGATTTTAGTTTGACTATTAACATATTCATTTTAATAATAATTTGATGACTAATTGGGCATTATGTGCATCTTTGATAACTTCTCCAGGAAAGGGTCTAAACGTCAACTTCTTATGATTCACAAATTTTCAAAGTGACTCTGAATATTAGCAAACACTAGTCATAATGTCTTAAATGAAATCTTTCAACATCAACACCCCATGAAAGTCTACTGTTGGCATATAGCCCTTCCCTACTTTACAGGAGGGTTTATTTAAGGGGGAAAAGTCTTCGAATGTCTTCTCCTGACCGAGCGAGGTGAAAGGAGAGTCAGACTATTACGTCAATAAGAATCTGACTCTCCCTTTCGCCACCGCGTTTACAGGAGGGTTGGAGACCGAAGTTTAAAAAAGATCCAGGTTTATCAGAGAGTGCTGTTGCTGGATCTCTGTTAAATGTGTAGAGACATGGCACTTACGACCCCTACTGTACAGTGGTGATTTAAACTTAAAACCTATTATTTCCATTGCAATGAATTTAATAATAATCATCTTTAAACTGTCAAACACCAAGCGGTCACCGGTGACCGCAACCTATTGTTCTTTAATTGTGTCTATAAATACGGTACTCGATGAAGTAAGCTTAACATTTACCTCTTTACTGAAAAATTAAAGAATGTAGTCTTTAAGGTAAGTATAAGGTTTTGTGTCATCGCTTTTAAAGAGATTTTTAAAAGGCCATCTTACATGCCCCACACAGCGGCCTTAGTTGTCATCTTCTTTGAACTTTTAGGCACTCTCCAGTCTCTTTGAATAAAATTAGGCACCTACAAGATCAAAGAAATTTATAAACACTTTCAAGAATTTTTGCATAAATTCTGATTGAACACCGTTTAGTGTATCGTATTAGCATAATATCACAGATCGTATTTCTTAAAAGAATGGAATAATAAAGAAGAAGAGCAATTAATATCACACTTGATTTATGCAAATAAGGTTATATAGGTAGATCTCTTTGTCATCTGGGAAAAATGGACGTAATAGGACTTTTTCATCAACCACGAAAAAATACTGTTTTTATGCTGCATTTCAAACAAATACCCAAACAAGGTTTATTTATTTCACTACGGAAATATTTACAAAACAAACCACTGTAATTATTATTTTTCTTCCAACCATGTTTCGATTCAATATCAATAGATGGCGCTGACAGTAGGGTAAATCCCTTGCTTAATGGACAAGATATCGTAATCCTTTTGTGTTGCCCTGAGTATAGCCAAAGATTATTGTTTGATGGCCCGATGAGTAAGATAGGGCCTAATTTAAGGGCCTTTTCTTACGAATTGTGCGTGGAAGATAGGAAACGGTTTTGTTACGGAGTTACGGCTATAAGATGAGGAATAAGGAAATGGAATTTGTTTGTGGCATTGAGATGTGGTTAACGGATCATTGTGTATGTATTACGGTTCTGGATTGGTATTGATGGATAATCTTCTGTTAATTGGAACTCTTGTTAGGTGTGAAATTATGTATTCTTTATATTACCTAGTACTATTGTTTTGTAATGTTTACGTCTATGATAGTATTAACTAAATTACTGAAGGATAGATGTTTGACGAGATACAATTAATATCAAACAATAATAAAGAAAATATAAGTATATACTTAAGTATAAAAAAAATACCAATGTATCACGTAGGTAATCTAGAAACCACACTCTCGTCAGCTTCAGAACCGTATTGAATAAACTAAAATGAAACAAGATATGAAAATTATTTAAATGAAATGAACTAGGCTGCTAATGATGTAGACTTAACCTTAATTTAATACTTGAATTTAACCCACTGCGGTGCAATTAACCTTTTTCAAGCTAATTACGAAAAGATCGTCTGCAGCTTCAAGTTATCCATAGTTTATTAAAATTAGTTTCATAAGTTTCGAAGATAGCTTAGATTATCCTAGTTTAAGTACCTATTTTAAAAAATGTATTAGGTTAATTTGTTTACAGATTCCTAGTTTTATTGAAAAGCAAATAGGTATATTTATGGCTAGTGATTCTTTGCTTCGGGTCAGAATGTATTACAGAACTTGTTATGTCAATTAAATCACAAAACTATTATTTATTATTTATTTATTTCGATTAAATAGTAGGTATAACATTACAGTCATAGAACCAAGGCGTTATACATTTCAAATAATTATAAAAAGAAAAAAAAACTAAACAAAACAGACTGCCTCGTTGGCCGACTGGTCGTAAGTGCGACTGTCGGGCAAGGGGTCCCGGGTTCGATTCCCGCGTTGGGCAAAGTATTACAGAGTTTAAAAAAAAAAACTCAGTAGTAGCACGGAGTCTGGAAATGTGCCCGGTATATGGCAAACGGCTCACCCCCTATTACATGGGACTCATAACATAAATAGTGAAAAGTAGCTGTTACTTAAGTGTGCACCTTTGCTTACCCCTTCGGGGATAAAACGCGTGATGTTATGTTATGTTATATTAATTACTCTTAGTCTATAGAATATATCCAGTTCAAACCGCTTGCTGCACGTTTTTCATTTGATATCACACTTGTAGACATAGAACTGAGACGTGATGTCTGATTGATGATTTCTGCATAAGACTATTTAGGTAAAATACTCATATTATTATGGGACTGCCTCGTTGGCTGAGCGGTTGTAAGCGCGACTACCGGTCTCGAGTTCGATTCCCAGGTCGGGCAAAGTATTACTGGGTTTTTTAAATAATTCTCAGTAGTAACACGGAATCTGGAAAGGTGCCTAGTATATACGGCAATAGGCTCACCCCTTATTACATGGGGCTTTAAGTAAAAAGTGGGTGTTACATTGTAAGTACAGTGGCATTAAGAGCCGAAATGTGCACCTCTGCCTATCCCTTCGGGGATAGGGGCGTGATGTTATGTATATTGTGTTATTATGGACCTGGGCAGCAAGCAGTAGCATACTCTGATAATTCTGAAGCTCTTAGAATAAGATTTGCAACCACCGAATGTGGATATTATGTCAATTCCTCTTCATTAATATTCGGAAGATGTCTACAGTCTAGCAGTGAACTCACGGGTGTTTGTTAGGATGCTCTAGTCTACTGAATAGTTCAATAGAAATAGCTAGGCACATGAAGTTTAACATTATTTCTAACTAGCTTTTACCTGCGGCTTCGCTCGCGTCACAAAATGATAAAAAGTAGCCTATGTGACATACACCAATACGCACAGCGCCATCTATACCAATAATTTCCTTTTCCCTCGAGAATATCAAATTTTTCCGGGATAAAAAGTTACCCTATTATTTAATCCAGACTTCTAACTTTACGTCTGCAAAAAATCAAAGCAATCGGTTTAGTAGTTACGGCGTGAAAATGGAACAAACAAACAAACAAACTCACTTTCCGATAATATTAGTAAGGATTGAACAAAGTAGATACCTACCTTTACCATATACGTAGCATAAAGTGTTGGTTTCAAAAGTAGAATATGAACCGGTTTCAAATGGTTCTGAATAATTTCAAACTCTCAGAATACGAAAGTTTTCACAAAAGTTTGGATATTAAAATTAATAGACGCGGAAAGTCAACTCGACTGAATGCTTGTATTTAAAGCGGTGAAATTTTAACCACATAGACGTTATTCCAAAGTTGTACTCTTCCATGTTTTGTTAGGCTGCCACTAAAGGTCATTTGACTTGGTTTTGGTTTACAGTATTGTGGAAATTATTATTGTTAGATGTCATTTCCTGTTATGACTAAAATTATAACATCAGTGCCGTATTAATAAATACATACACTACCGTTTATAAATTTGGAATCAGTCCTATTTTTGAACATAATATCACGCTTTTTATCCCCGAAAAGGTAGACAGTGATGCACATTACGGCACCTAATGCCACCGTACAATGTAACACCCACTTTTCACTATTTATTTTATGAATCCCACTTAATAGGGCCTATTGCCATATACCGGCCACAATTATGGACTGTGATTTTTTTCAAAAAACCTAGTAATACTTTGCCCGACCCGTTGAATCGAACCCGAGATCTCTTGCATGCAGTCGCACTTGCGCATTTTTGAACAATACATAATTATTTCGACTCTGTACAGTCATCAGCAAGTGCAATATTAAGTAGGTACCTATAATTGAGAAGAATAGTGTAAAATCGTTCTTGAATACGTACTTAGTTCTGTACGGAGTTTTTCACCCTTAATCCTCAAGCTCCCTAGTCATGTTACTAAAGTCTACCTACAGGGTGTCACCAAAGAGTCAAAGGGTAAGCGTGATTACGCAAAGACTGCGACGTTCACAACGCTTTGTCGTTTGTTCGCGCGTAAATTATACTTACGCGTGCCATAATGCCACGTTCTCATTTTGAAAATTATCCTGTCATGGAATATAGGGATATGGAGTACCATCCATTCGTATCAAACAGTCCAAAAGCTATAGAACAGTAGAGAGGTGACGCTGCCGCTGCTGTTCCTCGCAGTAAAATTCAATGAAGAAGCTACCTGAGTTAGTCAACTTGTAAATTATGTTAAACTAATTTTTGTCATTTCCCTGTAAATAATACGTACTAAGTTACTTAAACTCTAAGCAGTAAATTCCATCGTAGACCGCATCATCGCTTACCACCAGGCGAGATAGTGGTCAAACGTCGGCCTATCAAATATATAAAATAAAAAAATATTGCCAAAACATGTATAGGTGACCAAGTGGATGGTTTTTTTTAAGAGGTAAAATCATCGAATGACTGCTCCCGC